CCCCCTGCCCCCCCCAACATCCTTCATCCCCCACTGGCTTTTCTCTGAAGAAGCCCGCCCTGAAGGGGGAGATGGGGGAAGACTGGAAGGGATGACTCCAGATGTGAGCGCCTGATGTGGGCTACCGAGTTCAACCTGGCTACTTGTAAAGGTGTCCTATGACCCTAAGCCACATCCCAGGGGCAAATAACCAAAGTAGGAGCATATCTCACACACACACACACACACACACACACACACACACATCTTCAAACCTCTACCAGCGTCTTCTCCTTGATTAATTTATAGATACATATATACACACATAAGTGTGTCTGTGTGTAAAACATCAGCAGGGCTCCAGTGGCTCCCGCCTGTCACCCCAGCTACTCAGGAGGCTGAGATCTGAGGCTCACCCTTCAGAAAGTCCGTGAGCCTCTTGTGAACTACCAAAAACGAAAAACAAGTTGGGAGGGGAGCTGTGGTTCAAGCGGTAGAGCGCCAGCATTGAGCCCAAAAAAGAAAAACTCGGCCCCCTGAGTTCCAGCTTCCAGGACTGGTTACCCCCCCCCAAAAAAAACCCAACTTTATAGAAGGGACCGTGTCCGGCAGCTTCCCTGTGGGGAAAGGCCTCTGCTTCTCGCCCAGCCGGCCATGTCTCCCTGGGGCACCACACATCTGGAAAGGCAGCGTTCGAACCCTGTGCCCGCGGTCCCTGCCGCTTGCTCAGGACTGAGATCCCCCGGATTGGAGAAACTCACCACAGGGTGCGGGGCCAGCCATGGTGTAGCTTCAGCCCAGACAGGGCCCCCCGAGGTCCCGGAGCCTGGCCGGCTCGGGGATGGGCTTATGCCGTCCTCGGGGCTAATTCCATCACGGCTCAGCGGAGGGTAGATGTGCCCGCCCCTGGCCTGCTGCCACTTCCTCCTCCTTCCCTGCCATCAGCCCGGCCTCGGCCCAGTCCCGGCTCGGGTGTGGAGGTCCCCTCCCCGCCCCGCCCCGCCCCGCAGTGATCGGGCTGGGGCCAGGGCCCACCGGCGTTTGCAGTGTTTACCCCAGCAGTAGCTCTTAACCTGGTTCAGGCGTGAGAACTCAGCCGGATTATCTCATGAACCGTCTGTCTGATTCGTTTCCAATCCTGCCCGCAAAGCTACCTTCCTGTGGGCCTATGAATGGGATCGTGGGGGGCGGGGGGACGACACCCCTGAAAAGGACACCTTAGACTCACACACACACACCGCCCTCACTCCTTCTCACCCGCACCTGCACACACCTCTCTCAAGATTAAAGCAGGAGACGGGGACAGAAAGGGGAGGGGTCATTACAGGCAGAAAGTGGGAGGTATTTTGGTTTTTTTTGGGGGGGGGGTCGGTCCTGGGGCTTGAACTCAGGGCCTGGGCGCTGTCCCTCAGCTCTTCAGCTCAAGGCGGGTGCTCTACCCCTTGAGCCACAGCGCCACTTCTGGTTTTCTGAGTGGTTTATTTGGAGATCAGAGTCTCAGGGCCTTTCCTGCCCAGGCTGGCTTTGAACCGCGATCCTCCGATCTCAGCCTCCTGAGTAGCTGGGATGATGGGCGGGAGCCACCGGCGCCCAGGTGAGTGGGAGGTGTTTTAAGACTCCCCGCCCCCCCCCAAAAAAAGACACACTAGGACCAGAGGTGCTATTTGCAGCCCCCCCACACCTTCCAGTGTATGCTTTGGCTCTTCTAGTGATAAGTTGGGGGGTCAGGATTGCCCCCAACGTCTCCCCATTTGCCCACGGCGTGGGGATAAGTATACAACACAGAAGGGGCCAAAGGGAAGCTGCGGGTGATATTCTGCCCCAACCCTGGGCTTTAATCCTCTTATTCTTTATCCAGCACCTTGAGGGGTTCCCCAAAGGCGCTGTTTGAACCCCAACAACGATTCTATAAAGTGAGGCGTAGCCTTGCACCTGTTTTATATGTGAAGATGTTATGACGTAAAAAATCAATGTCAGAGGCCAGTGGCGCACGCCTGTCATCCCAGCTACTCAGGAGGCTGAGAGCTGAGGATCTCGGTTCAAAGCCAGCCCGGGCAGGAAAATCTGTGAGACTCTGATCTCCAATGAACCACCAGAAAACAGCAAGTGGCGCTGTGGCTCAAGGGGTAGAGCGCTAGCCTTAAGCTGAAGAGCTGAGGGACAGCGCCCAGGCCCAGAGTTCAAGCCCCAGGACTGACACAAACAAAGTCAAGCAACTAAGACATGTCTCTAAGAGATGTCCCGGGCGGGCCCCTAAGCAGACGCTAGCCTGTGTCCTGCGCTTCGTGTCCCTCCCCTGCAGAGCCTTCTGCTTGTTTGCATCCTGAGAAGTTCCTCCACGTCTCTTCCATCCCATCCGCACAGGGAACAATCCCGCCATGGCTCGGCCAGTGCTTTCCTTTCTTGCTCTCTCCCTGGGTCTCGTGGCCTCTTTCCTCCAGAGGCACTGCGTTTGGGGGCCTCTTCGAAATGCAGTTTCCAACCAGGCGCTGGCGGCTCCCGCCTGTCATCCCAGCTACTCCGGGGGCTGAGAGCTGAAGATCGTGGTTCAAAGCCAGCCCCGGGCAGGAAGAGTCTGTGAGACTCTGATCTCCCAGGAACCACCAAAAAGCCAGAAGTGGAGGCATGGTTCAAGTGGCAAAGCACCAGCCTAAAGGGCAGTGTCCAGGTCCTGGGTTCAAGCCCCAGGACCAGCCCACACGCACGCACACGCGCACACACACACACACAGAGTCATTTCCCAGTGTGGCTTTTTCTTGACCATCATGAACATGTCTGCAGCCACCCACGCGGCCCGGGCACGGGCCATGGGTGGCTGACGGCTCTCCGTCTAGCTTCTCTGTGGCCAGGGGACACCTGGGCCCCGGGCAGTGTTAGGCCACCAGTCAGAAGAGTGACAACCAGCTCCGCACCTATGGATCTGGTTTCCTCCGGAGACAGACTTGAGAGGCTCCTCGGAGACGGGGAAAGAGGCGTGAGCCGAGAGATGACAGCCGCTGAATTATTAAGCAGTTACATAAAACTTCCATCTATCCGGCCTTCCCTCTACCCCGCTAAACGCCCCCACTGCACCTGCTCCTCACAACCACAGCCGTTTTCCTCTCTTGTGGCTTCTCTTTGAAGTAACCGAAACCTGGCCAAAATCTAAGGATGGAGCAATAAACTGGCCCTGCCTGTGGCAGCTGTGCAACGCTCAGCTAGTGTCCTGACTTCTCTGGGCTAATTCCATCTGCAGGAACGGGACGGAGTCTAATTCCACTCCAACTCCATCATGCCCAGAGTTGAGTCTCCCTGTCTGATTTCTCCAGACATCTAAGATCTGTGTCCCTGTGGGTCCATCCTCTCCCCCCCGCAGTCCGGGCTACCCTGTGGCGTGGCCGGGGAAGCCCTTCCCACAGCAGTCTAAGGAAGGGCGGTCTGTGGGTGCGCATGGCGGTGCTCGCGAGCGACCCGGGGCTGGGTGTGAGCGGGTGCTGCCCGCGTCCCTGCCTGCCGGGCACCGGCAGCGGGCAGAGCCCGAGGGAGACGGCCGTGCCCCGTGCACTGATGCTGACGTCCCCTGTGACTCAGTTTCCCCACCCTGATCCCCGCGGGCGGAGATCGCCCATTTTTCACAGCTCCCGGCTTCCAGATGAGGACACTGAGCCTGAGCACCAGGAAGGAGGCTGGTGGGGGCTCTGCGGCCTCGCTGGACGCTGTGCCCCG